TTCAACCGATAAAAATATTTCAAACATTAATTAGGGTTGTCTAAATGTTAAATAGGGTGTCTTTTTAGACAACCCCTTTTGGTAAGTTAAACTAAACTGTATAGAATAGAACAAAGTTTTTTTAAGAAGCTTTTGGTATGGATAGGACCAAACTAAAATTAGTTATTGATCTAGGTGTCGTTTGTTTTTTCGAAGCGAAAATGTCTGAAGTTTGCAGACCACCCCTGCAACCCTCTGTAGCAAAAGAGGGGGGCCAAACGGCTGCAACATGTAATGAAAAATTTGTTTGTTTTTTAACCTCTAAAGACTGCTGCAATAAGTTAAAGTAAAGTGTGAAGAGGTTTGAAACACATGGTCAATTGTTGTGTCACGCAGCACACACACAACAATTTTTAAGTTAGAAGTCTTCTAAAAAACTAACAACTGTGAAGGGCCAAATGCTGCGCAGCGCAACAATAAATTACTAGAAGAGGTTTTTTAGAAAAAACAAACAAAGCTTTATTCATTTGGACTAAATGATAAAATTTTAGTCCCATCAAAATGATGAAACAAAATGGAACAAACTTATAACGATAGAAACACCCTCTGCATATTCATCGGTTTTATTGTTGACATGTCTCACTTAACGATTCTTAAGACAATGATTCATAACAAAATACGAAATAGCACCATTAAGTTTATATTATTAAGAAAGATGAGAAATTATAATTTAAAACTAATGTAACAAACGATCATAGTCTTTGTTTGCGAAGATTGCCTTCAAGCTTTTCATTTCTCCCTAATTGTCAAAAAAAAAAAAAAAGTTGTAAGTAATTGTAGTGGTGGAACTAGATTGGGCGTTGGAGTACTACACTACCACCAAAAAATTTATATATATATATATATAAACATGTTTCACGTTATTGTACCCCAACTAAAGAGATTATAATATGTTTTTTTAATGTCCGATATTGGATAACTACATATAATATATTGATAATATTTGTACCCCATATCAAAATTTCTAGTTCCACCACTGAGTAATTGTATATATAAGAAATGCAATATTTTATAATTTACAACGACTTCGAAGTGATAAGTGAAAATTACAATTGGATAGTCAATTGTACGGTGGTTGTATGCAAGTCCGCTAGGGGTGGGAATTATTTGGTCCGGAACCAAAAAAACTCGAAAACCAAATCGAACCAAAATTGATTTCGGACCGAACCATAGTAAAATTTGGTTTTTGGTTTGGTTTGAGACCAAACTGAATTGTAAATTTAGTTTTTTGTTCAAGTTTCGGTCTCATGAAGTTTAAACTAAATCAAACCGAAAAACTGAATTTCATAAATCAATAAATTAAAAAAAATATTTTATATTTTATATTAAATAAAAGTATTAATTATAAAGTAAAAATCATTTTAACTCAATTACTATTTAGATCATTTTGTATGAAACTTTAGATCTTTCTATTTGTAACTTTAGGTTTCAATGTTAAGAACATTATAATTTATGTTTGAAAAAATTTTAAGTTAATATTTGGTTTCTCGGTTTTCAAATCAAATCAAACCGAATTAGAATTCGGTTTTCGGTTTGGTCTAGAGAATTTGAATTTGATTTGATTTGGTTTTCGAATTGGACAAAACAAAATTAACCGAGAAAACCGGTTAGAGGTAACCGAAAAACCAAAAAACCGAACTAATTCCCACCCCTAAGGTCGGCAGGCGTCTACTGTTTTGGATATATATATATATATATATATATATATATATATATATATATATATATATATATATATATATGGTAGGTTCGCATATTCTAACTATTTATTATGTGGATGTAGGAATCAGTATAGACCAATCATTTCACAAACCTACATAAAGGTAAATATGTAATCTTACCTACTATCCATGTTTTAAAACCCGGGTCGACCCGGCCGGTTCAACCGGTTGGACCGTGACCCAGGGTAGAAGGCGGGTCAAATTAGACCGGTTTTTTGTAAAATACGAACCGGATCGAACCGGCCGGGTTTCCCCTAAACCGCGGTTCGACCGCTTATGTTGAACCGGTTAAACCGGTTTGACCCGTTTCAATAGAGTTTGGATGGTTGGATACAAGTAGCGAACGCCAAAACAACGAGCCGTTTGCGGTTTCTTCAATGTTTAAACTTTGTGGACATCAAATTATTGGTTTTATATGTTTATGCATTATGCATGAAAGTAAAAATATATAGAAATAGAAAAAGACCATAAACCGGGTTGACCCGGCGGTTCAACCGGTTGAACCGGTTGACCCGTGAACCGGTCATCACACCGGGTCAACTAAAAACCCGGGTTTTAAAACATTGCCTACTATTTAATTTTGGTAAATAAATAAGTATTTAATTAATCCCTAATCTTCTTCAACCTTGCCCTAGCATTGAGTGCACCCTTCAATCTTTGGCAAAAGAAACCATCGGCCATGTTCCACCAGCCCCCAACGCCATCAATGCTTGAACAACCCACCCCTCACCGTTGCTCTCTCTCTCTCTCTCTCTATATATATATATATATATATATATATATATATATGTGTGTGTGTTTCTCTTTCTGATACTGAAAGTCGGTGATGGAGATCTTGGGTGAGAGCTCTTACTTTCTCCGGATAAATAGGTATGTACGCTTGAAAATCCCCCTTTTGTTCAGCAATTGTAGACATTGAGGAGTCTGCCAATAATGGCAGCAATCAGTGGAGGAAGCAGTTCCTCAAATTCAAACGCCTCATCATCTGCTTTCTCTCATCAAGCCCCCAAAATCCTATTAGCCAAGCCAACTCTAGTCATTACCGCCAAGTACAACCGCGAACCTGGTGACGGTGGAGGAGGCGGCGATCCCGATGACGATTCATCGTCACTCCGCTCCTGCCTTCCCTCCATTGGCTTTCTGAATCTGTTATCTGACTCCTGGGATTTCCACACCGATCGCTTCCTTCCGGTAAGTTGCTAGCCTTTTGTCAACTTAACCCATCTGTATGTCTTATATTGAACTCATTTGGTTGCGGTTTTTGACGGACAATACCGATTTTACGGTGATCGGAGTGATTGGTCTGCAGGGGATCGGCAAGTCTACTATCATGAATGAGATTTATGGCTTTGATGCAACTTCTCCTGGTAGCCTAGCATTCTTTCCTTTCTTCATCTATATATACACTCATATTTGCGACTTCAATTAATATTGATTCATTTTATGTTATCATTGGGGGGTAGTAATATTTCCTCATTTTTCGAAAGAATCCATGGAAACCAAGGCCATGGCTAAGTAGTGTAGAATTGGTATTGAACCTAGAATCACTTCTGAAAGGATCATACTTCTTGATACACAGGTTTGCACATTCAAACTCCCAAACCTTTCTTTACCTTATGCTAAATTGTGTTGTATGGAATGCCACCTGTTTATAGCCCATCGATTTTGGTTGAAATGATTAGACCTGATGGTTGCCCCAACTTAATCATATGAGGAACTCCATTGCATATTTTTGACTCTTTCTTGACCTGATTAGGTTTGGTTCCTTCAAGAACAAGATATTTCCTTTGTATTTACTATTTATGCATTTTTTTTTACTTGGATATTTTTCAACCATAATACGTACGGTAGTTGAATCTTGAATTCCAATTCTATCGGAATAGAATCATTAATTCCAATTCTGTTGGAATGGAATATGGATATTTTCTCATTGATTTATTCATGCTCTATACTTCTCGGTTATTGGTTTTTGTGCAATTCATAAGTCTGTATATTTTTTCAAAGGAGTTTAGTTTTTTATTTTTCATTTCCTAATGCATTATTGGATTCTAAACTACAATTGGATTTGTTTTCACAGAAGTTGATGGTTGAAGAACGAACCATAAAATTGAAAGTGATTCTTAGCAACATTATACTTTTAGAATGTATTAGTGTTTTTGTTAGATTTGGATGTTTTTCCCGATTTTAAAGTTTTTTTAGGTTTATTCTTTTACAATAAATGTAATTCTTAGCAATTGTTACCTGTATTCTATAAAAATTAATGTAATTTTTGTTTTTATTCTTTAATTGATGGTTCAAGAATTTGTTATTCTACAAGAAGTTTTTAAAGTCATGATCAAGAAATAGGTTCAATAATTTTTTTATTATTTTATAGTTCAAGAATATTTTTATTTTTGAATATACTCAAAAACATATTCTGTCAGAATGTCTAAATTAAAAGAATTATAATTCGTAAAACCGGATTTTTAAAATTAATAGAATCTATCATCCCTTAAAATATGCAATTTTCCTTTATTAAATCTATATAAATTGACTAAAATACCCTTGTAATTAAATTAGATGTATTTTTCAATTATATTTAATTCAATAATATGTATTAATCAATTTCTTAAAATAAGTAAAATGATTGGTCCACAATCATTTCTATATCCATACAATAATTAGTTAGAATATAATAACCTAAGCTTATATATATTTTTGTAATTTTAATGTATTGTCCCGTCTTGTACTAGTCAAATCAATCGTTGGATATATAATATTTTTAAGTCCTACTATTTAGGTCAGTTCTATTTGGTCCATGTACTAAACGCTATCTAAAGGGACTACAATCTAGAGGTGAGCTTTTGAACCTCTAAATTGCACGTGGACTGGTTTTTTGGAATAGGGCTAGTTCTGAAAAAATCAATAATCAGAGAAGGGTTTTTAGGCTTCATTCATATTTTAATATAGAATACACGGAGGCTATATATAATAGCAAAAGAGATCAACTAGGAAACAATAAACCATAAAGATAGAAGATATGTACGGAAGAAATAAAAGGAATATAATTAATTCCCAATACTCCTCCTCAAGTCGGAGCGCGTAAGTTCTGAGCGCCCAACTTGCCAAGGAGAAACTGTAATTGTTGCGTCCCTAAGCCTATGGTGAGAAGATCAAGAACTTGTAGTTTAGTGTCGACAGAACGCGAACAAAAAAACAATTCATCTCCACATGTATTGTCCGTTCGTGGAAAACATGATTGGTAGCTGTATAACAAGCAACTAGATTGTCACGGAAAAGAGGAGTAGGTCTAGTAATGTTTTCATCAAACTCTTTCAGCAGCCATCTAACCCATAAAACTTCACTAATTGTCGACGCCATGGATTGATATGCAACTTCAGTTGACGAGCGGGAAACCACAGAATGCTTCTTTCTTTTCCAAGAGATAGGTGCACCTCCAAATAACAACACGTAACCTGTTCTATATCGTTGAGGAAGAGGACAACCTAACCAATCAGAGTCATAATATGCCAAGAGATCATTACCACATTCTCATGGAAGTAGGACTCCTTGACCTGGAGTGGCTTTTAGGTACCGAAGCACTCGGACAACTACATTTAGATGAGACTGCCGCGGAACTGCAACAAATTGACTTAATATATTCACCGCGTAGGCTACATCTGGTCTAGTTGCTTGCAGATAGAGTAACCTCCCAGCAATTCTTCGATATTGACTAACATCAACCATCGGCTCCTTCTCACCCTTGTCTAGGTTTAAATTTTGTTTAATGGGAAATGAATTAGGCCGACACCATTGCATACCACAATCATCAAGAATATCAAGGATGTACTTCCGTTGACTCAGCACTAAGCCTTCTGGAACACAAGTCACCTCTATTCCAAGGAAATATTTGAGATGTCCAAGGTCTTTTATGTTGAATCATTTGTCAAGTTCTTCTTTCGTTTCTTGTATTTTGTTGGTATCATTCCCCCACAATGATGACATCATCAACGTAAATGAGAGCAGCTATAAGGACATTTTCCTGTCGTAATATGAACAACAAATGATCTGCTTTTGACTGTTTAAATCGTTGCTCAAGGAGGGCATTGCTAAATTTTTTATACCAGTTTCGAGAAGCTTGTTTCAAGCCATACAATGACTTTCTGATACTATATACTTTCATTTTCATTCTTTAGCAAATCCTTGAGGGGTCTTCATGTACACTTCTTCGTCCAAGTCACCATGCAAGAAAGAATTGTTGACGTCTAGTTGTTGTATGGACCAATTTCTTTTAACAACGACAGTAAGAAAATTACGAACACTGACAAGTTTAGCAACTGGAGCGAAGGTATCATGATAGTCCACGCCCTTCATTTCTGTAAAACTTATGGCACCCAGACAAGCTTTGAATCTCTCTACTTCTCCATTTGGTTTGTATTTTATTTTGTATACCCATTTTGAATCAATAGCGTGTTTCCTTCTGGTAAGTCTTCGATGGTCCAAGTATTGTTTTCTTCGAGTTCCCTAACCTCTCTTTTCATGCCATATTTCAACTCTCATCTTTGACTTCTTGATGGAAATATTTTGGCTCATCGATAAAATCAATGGCATCTAAAAAACTATGTGAGAGTTAGAGAAATTATCATAATAAACATAAATGGTTAAGGGGTATACCATGGAAGAGCTTTGAGTTGGCGGGGTGCGTGGAGGGTCGACCGAATGGGGAAGCTAAACAACATAATCTTGCAAGTGATGTGGTTATGTTCTGGTTCGTTGAGGCCATGAGTGTTCAACAGTTTGCTTGATGTCACTGTTATTGGTAGAGTTATGTTCACTTTCCACTTCATGCATGTGTTGGGTCTCGTTGTCATGCTAAAAATCAGGATCATCACTTGACGGGGTGTGTTGATTTTCGACTGAGTCTAAATCATGTTCTTTATCATTAGGAACCTCATAAGTCACGGTTTCATCGAAATAGTCACCTCGACTTGCCTCGCTTTCAGTTTTTATGAAAGGGAATTTTGTTTCAGCATGAAATCTCACGTATCTTGATACCGCAATCCTTCTCTTCTCAATTTCATATATTTTATAACCCTTTGTACCCGTTGGATATCCTAAGAAAATCCACGGTCTCCCACTCATTTCAAACTTGTCTCCTTTGGTTTTTGTGTTTCTGTAGTAAGTTAGACAACCGAAAACCTTCATGAAGTCGTAGTCAGGTTTTTGACCAAAAACGATTTCATATGGGGTTTTGTTTTCAATCACACGATATGGCAGTTGATTTTTGATATAGGTGCCAGTCAAGAAACACTCACCCCAAAATCGTTTAGGAAGGTTTGCTTGAAACCTTAAAGCTCGTGCCGTCTCAAGGAGGTGTTGATGCTTCCGCTCAACGACTTTGTTCTGTTGAGGCGTGTTAGGATAGGAGGTCTCAAGTTTGATCATCTCTTCATTATAAAAGTTTAGCATATCATTCGAGGTAAACTCACCGCCATTATCGCACCTGATCTTCTTAATGTTTTTCTCAAATTGATTCTTTATCATTCTACTGAAATCGTCAACTATAGTAAAAAAAATAACCAGCTCCCGATAAAGAAGGAGTACGGTATTTACCCAAAATGACACAATGCAATAACTCAAAACAACCACTAGTTTTAATTTCACTGTTTGAAAATGGAAGCCTTGTGTGTTTGGCTTTAGACAAGAATCACATTGTTTATTAAAAGAAAAACCACTAAGAGACTTGATTTTGGTAAGGTTTTCGTTTGAAGTGTAACACTCGTGTTTCTATCCTATGCATTAATATTAAGGTGATAGTCTAGGTTAACCTTTGTAACTCATTTTGAAGAAATGAAAAAAAAAAATATGTGAATTCTATGTGTTTTATGTGTTTTATGCTTAATTACTAGGGCTTAGTTAATTAAGAATAAAAATAAGTGTCAAAAAAATATTAGATAAAGCCGATATATTTACATAAAGTTGTAGTGGTCAAAACAAAGATTTCGGGGATATAAAGAATACTAAAATCCGAGTTATAACGAAGAAGTTACGACTTGTCGAAGTTTCGCGATAAAACCGACACGGTGCAGAATGTCGTAAAAAGTGAGTTTTTGATAAACTACTTTTTAGCCTTAGTGATCTAAACAAAACCCGTAGTGTTCATTAAACCGAGAGTATGTATAAAAAGAACGCCCAAATCTGACTTCGTATGAGGAAGTTATGATTTTTCAATGTTTCAGCTTATCAATAAACAGCTAAAAACTCGAATTTTAGATCGTGTGATTTTTGGCCAATACAACCTAAACGAGAATCAAAGGTCTCGTCATTAGTAGCACAATGATAAAAAGTTTGACGAAAACGGACGTCGGATGAAGAAGTTATGAATTTCTAACGGATTTCCTGTCCCGGTCTGTTAAAAATAATAATATAAAAATTAAATTCAAAGTTAGC